CACTCAGCCAAGTTCCTAATCTCCTTGGTTGCCCACTTCCTCGTCTGAAATGTGGGATGACTTCATAAGGTAGTTGTGAGAATTAAGTGACCAAAACCCATAAAGGGCATAGAGCAGTCCCTAGCACTTCCTAAGTGTCAGTACCTGGGAATCGTCTTAAAGTCTGGGAGACTGAGGCTCAGGGTTAAGTGGCGTACCTGCGGGCTCAGAGCCAGGGTGGGAGGTCAGAGCTCTGCACCCAGACCGGTGGCCATCATGCCCCATTGTTTGGCCTTGGCCGTGTGCGTGTTCGTGGGGGTGTCTCTGGTGCCCTGGCACCCCTTCATGTGGGGCAGTGAGTGGTCAAGGTGAGGTCTGCTGGGATCTCAGAAGCTAAAAGGCAGCTCACAAAATCCAGCACCCTTACTATGCTGGGATGCTGGGGGAAACTGAGGCTCAGAGAGGGGAAAGATGAGAGCCTGTCCCTCAGTCCCAGGTGTGGTTCTAAGGAGAAACCCTTCGTGCTCAAGATTTCCCTTGAAAATCCCTTACTCTCCAGGCCCACAGGCCCCAGAAGCTGAAAAGCTGAGAATTAACCTGTCCTTTCTGTGTGTGTGTCAGCTGTGGCCTCCCCTGCCCCTGGGCATTGGAGGTGAGGGTCCGGTTTGCCCAGGGGGAGCGAAGGCATGACTTCAGAGACCTGTCTTCTCTCTCTGGTCCCCACCCGCCAAAAGTTGCATTTGCAGGTGTCAAACGTGGGGCTGACACTGTTCTGTTGCATCTACACCTGGGGCAGGGCACCCTAAGCCAGGGAAGGAAGAAGAGATCCACTGTGGAAGCTTGGGAGCAGTGACATCCTCAGAAAAGTGCCACTGTTATGGGGCCGCAGCTGGGCCCCTGGTTATGCCCTTGTCTCACACGTGCGTGTGGTCACCTCTGAGTTGGAAAACTAAGTCTGTCCCCCTTCACGCTCCCTCCCACCCGCGGCAACCCCCACACTCCCAGGAGCCGGACGGGTCTCATTCCGTGATCCTGCTGGGTGTGACACTGCTGGCCGCCATGCGCTGGTTCTGGTGGCCTGGCTGCTGGAACGGAACCGCCTGGGTGAAGCCGGATGCCTGGGACGGTGAACGGAGCGCTGGGGCGCTGCAGGCCGAGCCAGGCTGCAGAGAGACGTGGGCCGGCAGCCCGTCTTGCATCAGCAGCGTTTGGAGAACATCAGAAAGGGGCTTTGAAGGAAAGACGGGCGCAGAGCGACAAGGAAGGAGGGAAGAGTCCGCTGTGTCGTTTTCATAGCTATGTGTGTATAGATTTTAAGTTATTTCTTGGGGGTCCATCACGCCATCCGCCTTTGTTTGCGTGAAGAGTTACACCAGCTGTATACAGACTGCTCGTCGGCCTCTGTGTGTGCGTGACGGTTCCACAGACGCCTTATTGTCATTTTTAGTTGACCTTTACTTGGCGTTCGTGCCCAAAGACTCAGCTTCCGTGTTGCCTTGGTCCTCAGCCTGGCAGGGTCCAGCCCAGCGCTGGACAGAGCAAGGCTCCCCCAGGGCGCTCGTGGGAAAAAAGCGTAAAGCGAACCTGTCAATGTGGGGGTCACAGCACCCTCCAGCCTGCCCTGACATGCCAGCCAGGAGCAGCGTGTTGTGATAAGAAACCCCACAAACACTGGGGCTTGGTTTTCTCCTGTTATAAGGAATCCTGGTCGGGTGGCGCCACCAGGGACTCAGGCGTCCTGTTCTTCCCACCCCGCCTTCTCGACCCATGTCTCCGTCCTTGTGCTCACTAGACTGCGTATAAAGACAGCAGTGGATTTCCCAGTGGGTGTCTGTGTACATCTGCATGGCCGGAACCGTGACACATGCCCCTTCTAGCTGCAGGGGAGCTCGGGCAATTGAGTGTTTTAGCTGGACACGTCGCCCTCTCCAAACAAAATTGGAGTTATCTTGGTGAGGAGGAGGAGGGTGGGTGGATACAAATGTCAGCCACCCACACGGCAGGGACTGCGTCTGGCTCACCCCTGTTCTCACAGCAGCAAGCATGGAGCCTGGCACACAGTAGGTGCTTAATTGGACAGTTTGGGGGGAGCTCCAGGTCTCCTCTTAGGAAGAAGCTACTAATCTGAAGGCACAGGTCCAGCCCCCGGTCAGACGGTAGAGCCCCTGCCCCACCGCGGTGGCAGCCAACACGTCCACGCAGAGACGTGTGCACACGCAGAGATGCCCCTCGACCGCTGGGCAGGTGGTGAGAGGGTGGAACGGCAAGAGGCTGCACCGTCGCCCCCCTCAAGGGCCACCTGGCAAAAGTCAGAAAAGGCCCAGGAATGCCACATTAGGGGGTCGAAGGGACTTCCCTCCCAGTCTCCAGTTGCCAAGAGCAAAGTCTGGAGTTTGGTTTTCATCCAAATGGGGTTAATGAAGGTGGTAAGTCAGAGCCCAGGGGGGTTTAATTTCCAACCAGAGGGCAGAGACGTGACTTTGCTGCCAACCAGAGGGCAGAGGTGTGAGCCCCTGGGGGAGCCCGTGCAACCTGCTTGGCAGCAGCGTCTCCCCTCTGGGGCATGAGGGCCGTCAGAGGCTCCGGGAGGCCACTGTGGTAACATTGCTTGGGTCAGCGCCCCCACCTCCCCAAAGCAACTCCCCAAACTCAACAGCACCCTGTGCTGCTCTCGAGCCCAGCAGTGTGAAACCAGCCTGAGACTGACCAGCTCGACCCCAGCCCTGCCACTGACGGGCTGTGTGGCCGTAGCCTCCTCCCCGTAAGACGGGATGGCAGAAGTACCCACGCACCCATCCACCTCCCGTAGAAGTGCAGCCAGAGTCCCTTGAGGCTGTGCAGACGGATGTTTCCAACTCATCTGTGACAGCTGGGCCACGCTCTTCGGTAAGGTGCCTTCTGGCCGGGTTACTTCTTTAGATGCGGGGTTTTCTTAAAGTGAGGTTCACCAGTAATGCGGCCACACTGTGCTGGAGGTCAGGGCACAAAACTAACCCAGCTGTGTCTCCCTCCGGCACATACCCCCCAGGCTTGCGGTGCGGCCCCCCTGCTTGGCAGGAAGGAAGCGGAAGAGTCCTCTCTCCGTGGACTCTGCTGTCGCTCCAGTTTAAGGTTCCGGCCCAGCAGGCCGGGCATTCCAGCCCTGGTGACCTGAGCCGCAGCTCTGCCGAGCTGACCAGGAAGGGGACGGACCCAGCTGCGGGAGCCAGGAAGCTCAAAGCTGGAATTTAAAGGGCCGCCCGAGACCTGGGGTCCCACTGCATGGGTCTCCTCTCCCTGGCTCTGTGCACATGATGGCATGGCCCCAGCTGACCTGCCTCCCACCCTGTTCTACCCAGGGGAGGGGGCAAAGGGCAGGAGGATAAAAGGGGCCCCGCAGGGCCAGAAGGACGTCAGCTTATGTTGGGCACCAGGCCAGGAGCTCGGCATCCTCACGCCGCCATGGCTGGTGTCCCCAACTCTTTCATATGCACAGGCTGAGTTTGTTTCCAAACTCTGAGCGTGTCTCCAAGGTTCCTCCCCGTTGCTGCAGACACCGGCACAGCTGGGCCTCCGTATCTGGGTTTCATGTGTGTGGATTCAGCCAACCGCGGAGCAGAAATACTTGGTGGGAACATGGGTGGTTGCGTCCGTACTGAACACGGACTGGCTTTTTTCTTGGTTTTTTTCCTCATGGTGTATTCCCTAAGCAATGGGGTATAATAACTGTTTACATAACGTTTACGTTGCATTAGGTATCGTAAGTAATCTAGAGATGATTGTAAGTGTGCAGGAGGACGTGCACACGTGACGTGCAAACACTGCGCCATTTATATTATACAAAGGACTTGAGCATCTGTGGATTTTGGTGTCTACAGGGCATCCTGGAGCCATTCCCCATAGACACTGAGGGACACAACGTACTTTTTATTGTTAAATAATATTCCATTGTGTGGCTGTATCTCATTTTGTGTATTCATTCATCCATTGATGGACTTTTGGGTGGTTTCTGCCTTTCTGGCTAGTATAAATAGTGCATTTGTATCAAGTTTTTGTGTAGACACATGTTTTTATTTCTCTTGGATGTATGCCTGGGAGTAGAACTGCCGGGTCAGGTGGTAACTCTACGTTTAATCTTTTGAGAAACTGCCAGACTGTTTTCCAAAGCAGCTACACCATTTTCTCTTCCCACCAGCTGTACATGAGGGGTCCGATTTCTCTGCATCCGCATCAACACTTGTTACTGTCTTTTTTATTTTAGCCACTCTAGCAAGTGGGAAGTGGTATCTCATTGTGGCTTTGATTTGCATTTCCCTGATGGCGGAGGGTGTCGAGCACCTTGGCACATGCTTGTTGGCCATTTCTTGGAGAAATATCTAGTCACGTCTGTTGCCCGTTTTTAAAATGAGTTCTTTGTCTTTTTATTATTGAGCTGTAAGACTGACTTGTACATTCTAGATGTCAGTGCCTTCCTTCTCAGATAGAGGATAATTGCAGATATTTTCTCTCTACTATCTCAGCGGCATCCTTTGATGCACAGAAGTTTTTAATGTTGATGAAATCCAATTTATCTCTTTTTCCTTTTATCGCTCATATTTCTGGTGTCATATCTTGGTGCGTGTTTTTAATCTAACACTTCTCATGTGAGGGACTGTCGGGCTGGGCTCAGGGGTTCCGACGGGCTCGGCATGGCCCTAGGGGTTCATTGCGGCCGGGAATCGGGGCCCTCCAGCTCCCTGGGTTGTGGGTGTCGAACTCACCAGGCCCCAGCTCTTCCCTGAGCTGCTGGGAAGGACATTTAAACAAGCACTTGCTGCCCTGGCTGGATCGAGTAATCCGACAGGTGGGGATAGGTACTCTAGACACAGGTGGGCCTGGGTTTGAATCCGGGAAAAGCCGGTAAGTGACGCGGGAGCTGGGGAGGGACACTTCATCCTCTGAGCCCTGTCAAAGAAGCGACAGTGGTGATGTCCCACTCAGCGTTCAGGCACCTGGAGGAGACAGCGAGGGTCTCGGGCGCTAACTCGCTCTTCTGTCCCCAGCCATGAAAGCCGACCGGAAGCGCTTAAAGGGCGAGAAGACAGACCTGGTGAGCCAGATGCAGCAGCTGTACGCCACGCTGGAGAGCCGCGAGGAGCAGCTCCGCGACTTCATCCGCAACTACGAGCAGCACCGCAAGGTCAGCAGCCGCCCCCCCACCCCTGCCCTCCCCTCTGCGGACACGCCAGCTCCCCCGTCTCCCCTGCCCGCGGGCCACCTTCTGGGCCCAGCACGGGGTCTGCCTCTCGAATCCCGAAACACAGGTGGGAGGCCTCCCGTGTGTCCAGCCAGGCCTGGGCACCGAGATGAAACTGGCACAGTGCCTGGCTGGGGGCTCCGTGTCTCCTGGGCAGACAGGCCCGGACAGGACAGCATGGGCGGGACAGTGTGGACTCAGGAGTCCGGCCGGTTCAGACCCCGGCTCCCCATGTGTCCGCCCTTGGCCATCTCGCTTAACCTGCAGAGCCTCCGTTTCCTCTTCTGCAAATGCTGATGGTAAGGACCTTGCAAGGTCGCCATGGGATTCTGTGAGGTGACGAGCGCCGAGCCCCTGGCCTGGTGCCTGGCACGTAATGAGCACGCGTCAGGTGGTGCACAGCTGACGCTCACTAACGCCGTGATGAAAGTGAAGAGGGAGCTGGGCAGCACCGGTGAGACGCAGGAAATTCTGCCTGCAGGAGGGAGTCTTGGAAGGCTTCATGGAGGAAGTGACATAGTGTTGGGCTCTGTGGGATGAGTAGGACTTTACGGGTCAGATAACTGAGGAATTTGGTGCAGCACACATCTGTCTGGTGTATGTGGTGTGGACATGCCAAGAGGATACCAAAACTTGAGAAAAGTCAGTTTCCCGGCCAACCGGGCCTTGGTGAGTTGCTGCATCTGTAGGGAGAACCATGGCCTTCAGGTGTGCAGGGCAGAAAGATGGTTGGAAACCACTGTCCAAGCCCATGACACCACGTGACAAGGGCTGTGACCAAGCCGTGTGCATGGGGCAGAAACGGAGGCAGGAGTTCCGTTCGGCTTGAAGCTTCTCTGGTGATGGAGGGTTTGAGCGGTTCTTTGAGCGGTCGGTGGCCATGGGCCAGTGGAACGAGTCCACTCAGAGATGCTGCCTCTGAGCCAGAGTTGAGCGGCCGGGCTGTCAGAGACTGAACTTGAATCCAGGTGCTTGTCCCTGTCTGTGACAAGAACAGGAGCTCAGGGAGTGACCCCCATGGAGAGGGAGGCACAGGGACCCTGCTCTCCTCCGCTGTCTGATGACGCAGACGCACACCTGTGTGCGCGCTCGGGCGTGAACATGTGCCCGCAGGCATGCTGTGTCGCAGTGCTTTTTAAGTGCTTACAGGCAAGTTCTCAGAGCCTCATGTGTGTTTAGTTATTGACATCGATACGATTATCCCCCATTTCACAGATGAGCTGACAGACACAGGCGAGATCACTCATCCACGGCCGTGCAGCTGGCCAGCAGGGCGGGGTTCACAGGGCCTGGGGCCCGTATGCTCTGTGCTGCGCTTCTCCGCCAACCCCCACCTTCTTCCCCGGGTGCCCAGCACAGCATCTTTCTGCAGCCTTGGGTCCCTGCCTCCCCCTCTCTGTCCACCTCGCTCCTTTCTCCTTCCCCAGCTGGAGGGGCTGGAGGGGTCCCAAGGAGCCTGGTCTTTCTTCAGCAGTCGAGGCAGGGAGAGCCTTTGCCTCACTGGCCCTGTGCCCATCAGCAGGGAAGCCTGGTCACCTCATGTTTGGCAGGGACAGGACACAGGGGCCAGAGAACCAGCCCACAGCCAAACACACCTTGAGTGATGTGCTGGTCCCGGGGCAGGAGACAGACTCCTCGCTGACCTTGCACACCACTTTTCCCCGGGTCATCAGCGTCCTAGGCCTGGGGCGGGGTGGCACAGTGGTTAAGAGCAGACGGCTGGGTTAGAATCTCACCTCTGCGCTTGCTAGCTGGGAGATTCCTGCAAACAGCTGACTCTCCTTGGTCTCAGCCTTCTCGTCTGTAAAGCAGGATAATGATAGCGGCTAATCAGAGCCCAGTGTGGTCAGCACTGAAGTTTCCGGTGCTCGGAAAGCAAGCTGGGGGGAAAATGCTTGCTATCATTATTATTTATTAGCATCTTTTTTTTTTTTTTTTTTTTGAAACAGAGTCTCAACCTGTTGCCCAGGTAGAGTGCAGTGGCATCATCATAGCTCAGCACAACTTCAAACTCCTGGACTCAAACAGTCCTCCTGCCGCAGCCTCCCAAGTAGCTGGGACTACAGGTGCACCCCACAATGCCTGGCTAATTTTTTCTATTTTTGGTAGAAACAAGGTTTTGCTGTGTTGCTCAAGCTGGTCTCAAAGTACAGGCCTCAAGTGATTCTCCTGTCTCAGCCTCCGCAAGTGCTGGGATTACACATGAGCCACTTCACCCGGACTATAATTGTTACTGCCTTTGGGGATTCAAAGTCAGCCATTTGATCACTAAAATTCCACAGTGGACTCCAAAACCCTTCCCGCAGGCCCCTCATCTGCCACTGCCTGGTGTTGGTCTCGCTGGCGGGCCCAGAGAAGGAGACAGAGCCCCTAGTGGGGCAGGAGTATGGCTGTGGCTGCCCCACACAGAGCCCAGTCCTGGGAAGACAGTGGGGCCTCCCTGCATCCTTCTCCCCTCAGGGGCCAAGCCCCCTCTAGGTGTCCCCGGCCCAAGAGGAGCCCTGCCTGTAGTAACACCCACCGTGCTCTGTCCCCCGCCCACAGGAGAGTGAGGACGCGGTCAAGGCCCTGGCCAAGGAGAAGGACCTGCTGGAGCGCGAGAAGTGGGAGCTGCGACGCCAAGCCAAGGAGGCCACGGACCACGCCACGGCGCTGCGCTCCCAGCTGGACCTCAAGGACAACCGGATGAAGGAGCTGGAGGCCGAGCTGGCCATGGTGAGACCCCTTCCCAGCCGGGCGGGCTGGCGTCTGCTCCCCCAGGGTCCCAGAGTGGGGCGGGCGGCGCAGAGCAGGACGTGGGCAGGGGCTGGGGGTCCTGTGATGCTCCATACGCTTGCCTGCGAGACCACGCAGGCCACGCCAGCCCCAGAGCCTGAGACAGCGTCTGTCCACCCGCCCTGACTCTCCACACTGCCCAGGCTACTCTTAAAAATGAAAGAAAGAATATTTTTTATTTAAAATATACATACTTGTTTAGGAAAAGATGTGGGAGGAAATACACCAAAATGTTAACATTAGTTATCTCGGGGTGGTAGGATTACAAGTGACATTTATTTATTTATTTAACCTATTTTCAAATGTTTATGGAGCAAAAATGTTTTACTTCGGTCATTGAGGAAGACAAGGTTATTTTTTTCCTAACCCAAAACACCCCCAAACACTCTGTTTTTGAGAAGGTGCGTAGCCTGTGCGTTGGGGGTGGGGTGGGGCAGAGAGCCCAGGTCCAGAGCCCTGGAGGTGGGTTCTGCCTGCTCCTGTGTGACCTTGGGCCACTCGCTTAACTGTTCTGGGCTTCAGTGCCTTGTATTTGTTACTGGGCTGGGAATGGGGTCACAGTCCCACCCGCCTTCCCCACAAGGTGGCTGGGTAGGTGCAGAGAGCTCGTGGCTACAGGGGCCTTTGAAAACCACCAGGGCCTCAGTGTGGTGGTGGCCGGGAGGACACACGGGGACTCCTGAGGGGTGGGGTGGGGCACACGGCTCTCAGGATTCGTCATCCCGAGAGCGCTGATGTAGGCTAACGCTGTGGGTACAGCCCAGGGAGCTGGGTTCGAATCCAGCCCCTGTTGCTTCCTGACTGTGTGGCTTAGGGCAGGAGCCTTCACCTCTCTGGCCCCTATTCTGTCCACTCTCAGTAGGGATAAGTACATTTACCCTTGACCTTTGAAAAACGCAGGGGGCACCAGCCCCTGCATAGTGCCATAGATAACTTTTGACTCCCCAAAACTTAACTGCTTACGGCCAACTGTTGCCTGGAAGCTTTAGCAGTAACAAACAGGCGATTAACACACATCTTGCATGTTGTATGTATGACATGCTGGGTTCTCACAGTAAATGAGCTGGAGAAAAAATGTCACCAAGAAAACCGTAAGGCAGAGGAAATTTGTTTGCTCTCCGCTAAGCAGAAGTGGATCATCACAAAGTCTCCGTCCTCGTCGTCCTCACACTGAGTAGGCCGAGGAGGAGGAGGAGGAAGAAGAGGAGGGGTGTCGTGGGGGTGGCAGAGGCAGAAGAAAAGCCGCAGGGTGCGCGGACCAGGGCGGTGCTAACCTGTTTTGTTCAGGGGTCGGCTGTGTCCACGGGGCTCTTGTGAGGCTTTCAGTGAAGCGATGCCAGAGAAGCGCTTAGCACGGTGCCTGTCCGTGATTCACGGTGACAGGGTGGTTTTCTAAGGTCACTTGCCTCAGGACCAGGTGGCCAGGCCAGGACAGGGTCCCGGGGCCTCTCCTGGGTCTCCTTGTCCAATACCGACCCCTAGTGGTGGGAGCTGCCCGGGCAGGGAAAAGCTGCAGCCGCCGGGACCCCAGGTGGGTCGGGGGGACAGGGTTCCCACCAGTGGGGTCCGTGGTGCTGAGTCCCTGCTGCCTCCTGCAGCCCAGACAGCAGCCTTTCAAGTTGCAGGCCAGGAAAGGGGTGCAGGATGAGGCCCCTGTTCTCCCAGCCCTTCCTAGTTCCCGGTGGACGGACAGATGTGTCTTCCTTGCCTTGGAAGGTTGGCCTCGGGCCTCCTGGGTCTTTCTGGACTGAGAGCCCCCCTCGCCTTGGCTTCCACTCCCACCGCGCCCGGACTCTCAACCTGCTTCCGTTCTGGCCAACAAAACTCAGGTTCCGGCTCCTCCTTCTGGCAGACGCCGGTGGTTCAGAGCTGCCTTCGGCCCGAGCCCAAGGGTGTGCGAGGCAGGACCCTGCACTGCCGTCTGCCCTCACGGCATCACCGCCCAGTCCTCGGGAGGGTGTAAGTCATCCTGCCTTAGCCACCGAGGCTGCTGCTTGTTGATCGTGGCGGGGGCCAGACTGGACCCTTGGCCTGCGTGTGAGTTGCTGCTCATCTAATCCCGGCTTGGGAGGTAGAAACTGACAATAACAGTCGCTGGTACTTTGGAGTATTCTTACCGTGGGCCAAGCACTCTCCGTGGCAGCGTGGGAGGGAGGCACGGTCTGTATCCCCGTCAGACAATGGGGGGCAGGAAGGCCGGAGAGGTGAGGAGCCCCCCTTAGGGTCCCACAGCTCAGAGGTGGCAGGGCCAGGTCACATCCAGGTGGTCCGATTGCAGAGCCCAACTACAGAGCCCCGTGCTCGGGCCTGGGCCACCTCGTCGCACAGCGCCAGGGGGCACTACTTATATAAACATGTCCCCTCTTGGTTTTCTCGTGTTATATAGTAGGACCCTGAGGCTCAGAATGGTGGAGTAACTTGCTCAGTGTCACACAGCAAGTTAAGCAGGAGAAGGGGAGTTTGAACCCAGTTCTGTCTGACTTCTGTCACATGGACATGTTTGTGCCAAGTTACCAATTCCCAGGAGCTTGACATTCTGGGCTTGGAGTGCTCAGGAGGCGGCGGAGGCTTGGAGCGTGGGTGTCAGAGCTCAGGGGCGTTGCCAGCGGTAAGTCGCATGTAGCGGGAGAGGTTCATCAGAGACGTGTGCGAGCCGCCGCAGGGAGATGATCGTGTGTGCGCCCACATGCGTGTTTCAGATCAGACACACCTTGTCTGCAGCTCCTCTCTGTTGTATCTCTGTCTCAAGTCTAGAACCCTCAGTGGGCAGAGTGGACAGTTTGTGAGCGGTTCCTGTGCTTCACAACTGACAGGTACACCCCCCATTCTGAAGGACCGACCGTAGGGACTTCCGAATTGTCAGCTGGGAAGGATGTCAGGCTGCCATTCCCAGGCCCAGACAAGGGGGCTCCAGCCGGGAGGAGAAAGCCGGGGTGCGGTCAGGAGAGCGATCCCCCTCATACCTTCCTGTGCTGCTGCAAAGGGCCGCCTGTCCCAGGGGCCGCCTTGGACGTTCCTGTGTTTTCCACGGACGTGGCTGGGGGTGTCTGCAGGAGGGGAGCGCTGAGGGTTCGTTGCTGCGTGATGCAGACCAGCCTGGGTGCTCATTTCCCCAAGTCCCACTTTGCAGGCAGCCCAGATGGACAGGGCAGAGGACAGCAGACAGCTGAGTGGTCGCAGCCTGGCTGCGAGGCTCTACCTGCTGCACCTGGAGGGAAAGCAGGCGTGGTGCACTGACTCACCTGAGTGAGGTGTGGCGGTGCAGGAAACGCGAGTCTGCACTGCGGTGCTGAGACACACCTAGCGTGGTTCTTCCTTAAACAGAGGGATTGCTCCATTGTTCTTGCAGGCGGTCACCAGAGCTGATCCCCTGGGTCATCCCTCGGGCATAGCAACGGCTTTGTCAAGCAGAGGCTGCTTCCTTTTAGTCTGGATTTTTGCTGGGTGTGGTTTTTCCTGGATGTGCCAAGCCCGGGCCAGGTGCGGGGGATTCCGTGGTGAGTGAGCAGACGTGCCCGCCTTCTCTGAAGTCCGCTTCACTTGCGCTGCTTGTTTCCTGGCCCCACGGGAAGGCACGAGGAGAAGGTGCCGCCCAGTCAGGCGCTGAGGTTTGGGGACTAAGTTGGATGTTGTGCCCGCTGTGCACTCTTGGAGAAGTCACTCCACCTCTCTGAGCTTCTGGTTTCTTGTCTGTCAAGCACAATAATCCCATACTCCTCCTTGCAACTCAGGGCTGTTGTGCTGAGCACGTGAGGGCGTAGAGCACAAAGGGTTTCTAAGGCAGAGGGGAGTGATTAGCTGGTTTGGGGGCAAAGGTGACACCATCAACTCGGCCTCTGCTGTATGGATTTATGTTCCCCGGGGGCTGGCTGTGGAAGGGAAGTGATTTCACAGACCGCTAGGGAGGCTGAGCTGGAGGGAGCCCTAAAGATCACTTGGTCCAGGGTTTTCCTTGTACAGATGGGGAAACTGAGTCTCCGAGGAGGCAGTGACTTGTCTAAAATAACAGAGCTGGCCAATGTGATGCGCGTGCATCAGGCTTTAGGTCAAGAACTGTCCATTTCTCAGCAGAACTCTGTTTCTCGAAAACCCCTGCTCTGCCAGGAAGAACTCAGGGCCTGGGGCAAGGTGCAGAAGGTTCTGGAGCTAGGAGAGATGAGATGGGTTTTTGATTTTATCTGTGTTCATATGAGGGCCAAAGCTGGTGCTCACCGTGGCTCTGCCACTGTAGCCACTCGCTGGGGCGTCACCTGAGACCTCAGTGCAAGAGACCCCTGGCTTCTCCCTCGGGAAGCAGAAATCAACTGCCCTGAAAAGAATGTGCATTAATACATTTCTCATATATGCCCTTTTTCTCCCCAGAAGAATTTGAGTTGACTTCTAATAAAACCCCATGTACCCTGGGGGATAACACAGCTAAAAGAGACCTCAGACACGGGACAGAGAGGAAGACCTGTGTGACCAGCCCAGGGGAGGGCCGCCTGCCCCGGCTCAGCCCCCCACTTGTCCCTGGGCTTCCTCATGTCTCCCGTGTTCTTGTCGTGGGATCCTGAGAGCCGGGCTGCGGATCCTGTCCCCGGCCTGCCTTCAAGGAGGAGCTAGTCACGCGGGTTGAGCGTGGAATGGCCCATGTCCCCCTTGGTTCTGCAAAAGGTGCACATGACTTTTCTCAGGTAGAACCTTGTGAAGGGGAGATCAAAGTTTGAATTTAGGAGGAGTTTAGGTAATGGAAGCGGAAACGCCATTTTCTTACAATCGCGTTCAAATTCCAGCTAGTCCTTGGAAGACTCACAAGAACAGGGATAAGAATGTTCTGGGACCCCCTTTCTCTCTGTGTGGCTGGTCTCACTTTGCTCTTGGTGGGAACTGAGGGGTAACCCCCAGGGGAGCTCTCCGGTGACAATCTGCAGCTCAGGCACTTGACGTACTGATCAACACGTGGTGCAGAGCTGGCCATACCCTGGCACAGGTGGGGTTCGCGGCCTTCTCACCGCGGTGGCGGGTGATGGCAACAGCAGGCCAAGAGGTCCCCTGATCACGTCGTCTTCTCCCTGTCTCCTGGCTCTCCCTCCAGGCCAAGCAATCCTTAGCTACACTGACCAAGGACGTCCCCAAGCGGCATTCCCTTGCCATGCCGGGCGAGACGGTGCTCAACGGCAACCAGGAGTGGGTGGTGCAGGCGGACCTCCCGCTGACCGCAGCCATCCGGCAGAGCCAGCAGACTCTCTACCACTCACACCCCCCACACCCTGCAGACCGGCAAGGTGAGTCCTGCCCTGGCCCAGCCCAGCCACGGCCACAAGGGGCTTCCTAGGAATCCATCTAACCCAGTGGGAGAGGCAGCTTCTTTGTTCACACGGCAGCAGCTTCCAGGGTGTGGGGCAGAGAACTTGGGCTCATGTAATTGAAAAGTCTAAGGGATGGACTTCAGGCATGGCTGGATCCAGAAGTTCAAACAATGTATGGGTCCCTCTGACCATCTCTTTCCATCTCTCAGCTCTACCCACCTCCATCTGGCCTCATGTTTAGGTTGCCTCTTTCTACAAGGCAGCAAAACAGTCCCCAGCAGTGCCAGACTTTTAAGGCCCTCCTAGCTCAAAAGTCCTGAGAAAGAAACTATCTTTTCCCCTTATAGCCATATCAAATTCCAAAGGAAGAGTCTGATTGGCCAGCCTGGGTCACGTGGGCATCTTTGGCAGAGGCAGCAGAGCTCCGTGACTGATGACAGCTCCAGCCAGGGCACGCAGGAGAGGGGAGGTGCAGATGTCGCACGTGTTTGCTCCAGGCACTTGGCAGGGTGGTCTGGCCTCTGGGCAGCCTCTGCGCCCCCTGCCCGCGATGCAGGCTCCAAACCCTGCTGTGCCAGTGCACGTCTGCAGGCCACCCTGCTCTGTTCTCTGCCCCTCCTACAGGTGGCCGTCCTTGTGTGACAGGTGCAGTTGGGGACAGGCACCTGGCAGCAGCCCAGAGAGTGGGGGCGGGAAACGGTCACCGTGGCAGCTGCGGGCAGAGCTGGCCCCTGCAGCAGCAGATGTGTGGGACACAGCCCTGGCCATCAAGGGGCTGGTGGGCCAGTCAGGGAGAAGCCAGTGGGTCCTGCCATTGCCTGTCGAGGGGACAGTGGGGACAGTATAGGTGAGTTGGAGCAGAGGGGCACCGGCTCTGCATCCAGACTGCTGGGTTCCAGTCCCAGCCCTGCTGCTTTGAAGGGGCGTGACCCATGGCCTCGGCCAGGGTCCTCAGTTTCCTCCCATGGCCCTGCGGGGCTCTGAGTGCGCAGAGCGCGTTAATGGTGTGTTTGCCGAGACTTCCCTTTACCTACCTCGTGGGGTTGTCATGGAGATGGAACGTGTAAAATTTCTAGAATGGAGCTTGGATCCTGGTAAGTGCTGGGTAAATATTAGCAGCTACTCTCACCATTATCATCATCATCATCACCGTCACTGTCATCATCGATAGGTGACACACAGGGCTTTAGAACCCTGTGTGCAGAACAGTCAGCAAATTCAGTCTCCCCTTCCCACTGAGCGGAGACACAGCCCTCCCTTTACTGTCTGGCCCGAGGCGGGGTGACTTTTTTAGGGGTGCGGGTGGCAGCGGGTGGGCAGCTCTGGCCTTTGTTATAATAAACGTGCTCAGGTCCAGCTCCCTTTTCAGGCCGGGAGACTGAGACCCAGAGAGGGCCTCCATTTGTTCAGAGTCTCACAGCCCAGCCGTGCAGTCAGCCCTCCTGGCCCCTGGTCAGCCCCCGGGCAGCAGAAGGGCGCAGGTGCTGTTTGAAGGCAGACAGAGCTTGGGCGGTTTCTGAATCATGTGCTGGTGGCAGCCACCAGGTTACCTGAGTCATGTACGAGGCCCCTCCCCGGTGGAGTTGGCTCTGGTCGGGGAAAAGCTGGACAGGCTGATGGATCCGCCCTCTGGCCATTTCTCCTCCACGGCACCTGCCCCACACACGTCTGTCTCCTCACCCTCCTCCAGGAAGCCTTCCTTGCTCTCCGCAGCCCTGTCCCGTGTCCTCTGTGCCCTGCAGAGCTGGGTGCTCACCTGCATCAGAGCACTCACCCGCTGCTCGTAACTGCTGTCGATGCTTTTGTCACAGGACTCCTCCCTCCGTCTGCCCAGCGCCCGGCACTGTGGCAGGCGCGTCGTACACATACTGCTCTGTGGGAGTGGCGCCGCTGTCATCCCATCTTACAGATAGTAAAACTGGCTCTGAGGGGTTGGGGAGCGTGACCAAGGTCACACAGCCTGGGGGGTGAACTCACCTAGATTGGAACTGACTCCAAAGCCGGTGGGCCTTTAGCCTCCTGTTAGACCACACCGTCGTTGGCAGCAAGGAATGTAACCCCACCTGCTTGCGTGCTGCCTGCACACAGTAGGTGCTCCTGCACGCAGTAGGTGCTCCTGCACACAGTAGGTGCTCTGTCAGTGTTGTCCATCAGAAGCTGCCTTCTCCATCCAGTGTCAGCACCTGCAGGCAGAGCAATCTGCTGGGGGACTTGGGAGGCCTTCTGAACTGGGCCTGTCACTCTCGAGCAGCTGCGATACAGGTGCCAGGCACCGTGGGCTCTGGGATTCTAGGGGGGTAAGACCCGCAGGGTGCCTGCCCTCAGGGAGCTGAAGTTATCAGGGTGCAGATAGATAAGACACATAAACTAGCAGAATGATGGCAGGTAGTAATTAGCACAGGGGCGGAGATCAACAGCAGACAGGCACTTTGATGGGGGAGAAAACGGAATAGGGAGAATTGACCATGGGGGAGGCCTCTCGGGGACAGGCTGACGCCAGAGAATGACTGTGCTCCTGCCGCAGCAGGAATGGCAGCGGCCCAGGTGGGGGAGGCCTGCCTCGGGCACCGTCGGGGCCGGTGTGGCTCGAGCACAGAGACGTGACGAGGAGCTGAGCTGAGGAGCTGAGCTGAGGCCGCCAGGCCTCGGAGGCCAGGAGGAGGAGGGCCAGGACACCTGTGGCTCTGGCTGCAGTGCGAGCCCTGCAGGCAGGGCCCCCCCGGGAGGCTGCGTGACCTTCCGAGTGAGAGGCAGCGGCGGCAGTGGGGCTGGAGCAAAGTGGATGGATTTGGGGCTGCGTCCTGGAGGTGCTGCTGCTGCTTGGCCGCGGGGTGTGGGGCAAAGAGCGGAGCGGAGGCTTCTAGGTTTCCCGTGTGGAAAGCCGGTGTAGGGCAGAGTTTGGGATCGCAGGTCCAGGGAACAGCCAGGTAGCAGGAGCGCGTGAGCAGTCATGGACGTCCCAGAGTCCCCCACGTCTCCTCCTCCTCCAGCCCGGTGAGGCGGGGGCTGACTGGATCCAGCTGTGGGAGGCTCTTCCCAGCAGCTGCTCTGTGGGAGCATGTGGGACAGAGAACTGGGCAAGTCTCTTCCCTTCTCTAGGCCTCAGTGTGCCCATCTGTATGATGGGGGCATTGGGTCGAATCACCTGCAGGGCGGTCCAGGCGGGGACATTGTCTCCATCCCTCACTCACCAACTGTCCCTGCTTTCCAGCGGTCAGGGTGAGCCCCTGCCACTCCCGGCAGCCCTCTGTCATCTCCGACGCTTCTGCTGCTGAAGGCGACCGGTCGTCCACACCGAGCGACATCAACTCCCCTCGACACCGGACGCACTCCCTCTGCAACGTAAGGCCAGCAGCAGGAGGGCCGGGGCCCCTGGGCAGGGGCTGCGTGGCGGGCGAAGCCGGACTCGCTGTTTCCTCTCGTCTACCCAGGGAGCGCTCTGGCGAATGCGTTTCCTGTTCTGTTCTTTCCTTTCGCAAGAAGCGGTGGATGTGGGGAGAGAGAGAGATGAGGCCCGTTTGCTCCTTATGTCCGGGAGGGTGAGGAGAATCCAGAGGAAGCAGGCCCGGGGTCCGTGCCGCTGGAATTGGTGGGCCCTGTCTGGGACCGCGGGCTTCCCTCAGACGTGACCCTCCGGAGCGCGGGGCCTGGCCGGCACCACCTCGCTTCCCTTTAGAGCCAGCTCTCCGTCCTTCGCCCCGTAGTTTGGGCACGTATCGCCTCCGGAGAGGCCTGCGGATTCGTTCTAAGTTTGTTTACTTTGCTCATTTCATCAAACGCTTTTTGGTTCTCTGCTGGGCACCGAGAGGCACAAGTCCCAGCCAGCTAGCTCCTGGTGACTGGTGGGGCAGACAGACAGGCTCCGGAGCAGTGAGGGGGGTGGGTCCGGGGTCCGAGGACAGGTGGAAGCCACGTCGAGGCTCCTGGAACACTGGGGTCAGGGTGTGGCGACCGCTGTGAGTTTCGTTCCATCACAGAGGTGGTGATGCAGCGGCCTCCCCTGTCGTGTCCCAAAGACAGAGACGCCGTAGGGCTGGGTCTTCAATGCCCAGGAGGACATTTGCAAAAACTCCGTTATTGTTGCTTTATTAACCAGAAAAATAGATAATAAAGAAGAAATGAGATGCACACATTGGGCAAAATCATTACTTGCTGTTGGTATGATTGTCTACCTGGAGAACTCCAGAGGAGAGCTTAGAAAGCTATTAGAGCTAACAGGAAGCGAGTCCATCACCATACTAGTTGAAAATCAATTTATAAAAATCAATAGCTTTCCTATATATGAGTAATAATGATGGAACCATTTTTTTCCCAAACCACAATAACAATGAAAAGTGCTTATAAAAATAGCCAAGACTAAGCAACAGAAGCCGCCTCAGCGTGGCGACGTGGGCAGCAGGCGTTGCTGGCCTTGTGGTCGCACACAGCCCACGCAGGATGGGAAGAAGGTCGGCCCTGCTCAGAGCTGGGACTTTTTTTCTTAGGGGGCTTTAGGGAAGCAGTGTGTTCTTGTCCCTAGGGCAGAATCCTAGTGACAGAGGCTGTCTTGATGACAGACCCAAGACAAGGAAGGTGGGCCGCTAGAGGGGCCTCTGACGTCCACTCCATGGCTCCGAAGGCCCACCTTGCAGTTACGCCCAGAGCCAGCGGTGCCTCGGGCCAGACACCGGACAGTGGCCACGCACATCCCAAATGCGAGCACCTCCCCAAGGACCGTACTTTGTCTTCTCCTGGTGGCCCGAGGGTGCTCTGACAGCACAAATGCTGCTGGAAAATCCATTCTGCAGAAAGGCTTCTCTGGGGGCCTCTCGACCTGCATTCGACAGAGGCCTGGCCTTTGCCCGGCTCAGCCTTGGCACATACCTGCTGCTGCAGTTCCAGCCCTTTTGTTTCCAAGCTCGCCTTACGCAAGGCCCTGCTGCTAGGAAGTGAGTGCTTTGATGAGCCAGTGGTCTGCGTCTGGGCGTTCCAGGGGGCACCGGCCCCATTCTCTTACCCATAAATGTGTCAAAGATGGTCCTACCCAGAATAGAACTGTCTTAGCTGCCTGCAGAATGGGTTCCATTTGCAAACCTTGAGATGGGACTAAAGATTAAACTACCACTGGTGACGTCACCCCTTCCTCAACCTCCTTTATCCCCTATCTCAACAGGTGTGCACGCAGGTAAGCCTCTGTCCTCAGGCATCTGACCTGGCACCAGCCAGAATAGTGTAGCCTGAACTACGGGTCACCTCATCCTCTCACGCTCAGGCCGCTAATTTAGAGCAGAGGTGGGGACTTAGCACAGAGAGGTTGGAGGAGGTTGAAGGACATTGTTGCTTCTTGGGCACTATGCCTGCAATTCCGGAAACGACCACCAGAGGCTCCCCAGCAACGACTATTGGGATCTAAACGATCTTTTGCCTCCAGGCAGGGCAGGCTGGTTCTGAGAGGCAGGGGAGACTTTCGCACACCCACGGGCTACTAAGGTTCCCTCCCCACTCACCTAGGGCAGGGCTGGCGACACAGTGGAAATGTCTCGGCTGCCTGGGTCTGTGCGAGGCTCCCTGGGAAGGAGGGAAGGCGCTCAGACCCTGTGGGTAGGGCTCCTGGGGCGGCCCAGAGCTCGGGATTGACTGCCCTGCCTAGAAGGAGCACTGTGCCAGGAGCACTCAGTCCCACATTTGAGCCACAACTCACCGTTTAGTTAGCTCCATGGTGTTGGACTGTCTGGAGCCTGTCCTCGTGTCTGTAAATAGGGCTAATGAGCCCTGTCTACCCCTCCGCAAAATAAGAGCTTCCTTGTGTTGCTTGTAGGGGAAGCTAGAGGCTGTGTAGTCTCCCAAGTCTTTCTGTCCCGAAATTCCTTATTTTGTGCTTTTTCTATAAAAGTATTTTTTTTTTTTTTTTTTTATGAAAAGCACCAAGTATAACCAAGCCCTGGTTCTAACGCCATTCCTGACCTGTTGGGACCGGAATTTAGAAGCCTTTGAGCGAGTGATTTGTTGGTCCCAGGCTGTTGGGGGTCGAGAGGCCAGAGCAGGCAGGAGGCCTCTGTCCAGAACCCCTTGTCCAGGCAGCGCCTTAACCCCAGGCTGCGTCAACAAGCCACCCGGGAGTGTCTGCTTCGGGAAGTGGGGAGCGGGTGGGTCCCCACTGCAAGGCAGGGTAGCCCCTGAGGGATGGCTGCCTTCACGTGTGTCCTGTGTCTCTGCTGTTTCATCTTCTTCTTCTCCTTTGGCTACAGGGCGACAGTCCCGGCCCAGTTCAGAAGAACCTGCACAACCCTATTGTACAGGTAGGTGTGCCTTCCCTGGCCGCAGGGCCCTCCCTCCTCTCCAACTTACCGTGACCTCGTCCCTTGTCCCCCTAGGCCGTCATTCCCATTTGCTTCCATACTCGGGCACCCAAGGCAGGGAGGAGTTAAGCCACATCTGAGTCACACGCGGGCTGGTGCCTGAGCCAGGCTCAGCACCCGGGACTGCCTCTTGCTGTCCTTGCCGGACTGCAGAGCTACCGCGTGCACACACGTCCTCCATCCTGCTGCCCTGGCCGGTGTTGTCCCCCGGCAGCCCGTTTGATAAAATGACCATTACTATTTAAAGCCTGTTAACCCAGGTGATGGGCTCTTTGGGCCCTTTGCTGCTAGAAACACTTTTACCGTTTCCCTATTCTGTCGTTAGGGTGAGGAGGGGCTGCAGGGAGGCAGGACGACAGACATGGATGTGAGGGTCAGCAGGGTCTCTGAGATCATCTCTCCAGTCCCGGGGTCCCCACATGCTGGTCTGTGTGCCACCCCGTCTCTGTCAGGGCCCACCAGGAAAGTGGCTCAAAGGCAGATTCCTGGGCCCTTTCAACCTGGGGGTTCTGATCTACGGATGTGAGGTGGGGCCTGGAATTCAGGGAATTCTGAAGCGTTTTGGGAACCCCAAGTATAGTCTAAACCTCATCTGTGTTATGGATGACACCACCACGTGTCCGTATAAAGTACTTGGCCGTCTGCAAAACTCCCCTGCAGACTCCGTCCCCGTCCCCACGGTATCCCCAACAGGAGAGCAGAGCAGATCCACCGTCGTCGTCATCCTTATTACTGTCCCCACGTCACAGACAAGAAGACGTCTCGGGAGCCGGGGGGCTCTCCAGGGGTCCACAGGTAGTGACAGTCAGGACTGGACCCAGCCCCAGCGCCCCCACCTGCTGCACAGTGGCTGGTGCTGTCCCAGCTTTCAGGCGCAGGGCCCTTGGCCTTGGTTGACACCGGCCCCGGCTTCCTGCTCATTTTCCGGCCTCTCCCACCCGCCCCCTTCCCTCATCACTCACTGTGTGCTTAGTGCCCTGGCACTGCAGATGGGACCTGTGGCCCCCTCGCATCACAGGCAAAACCACAGCAATGGCCAAGTGCGTGGATGTCCCCCTGCACGCCCTGGACAAGCCCCCGAGGGGTGTAGGCACATAGATCTTAAGCAGTAATAACAGTACACACGACAACGGCAGCTCTTGTTTATTGACTGCCTGTTAACACACCGGGCACTGCTCTCAGCATCTTTGGTGGCATCCTCATGCCAGTCAATGACAGGTCCTATTGTTGCCCCTGCGGGCTTCCAGGACTGGCCCAGGTTTACTAAGCGAGTGAGGGGCCGACCCTGGCATTGCCACCCTGTGGCCGGCCTCCCAGCCGCTGGAGACCCCATCCCTGTCCCTCTGGCTTCTAGCTCAGAGCGGCCTTCCCGCCTGCTTCCCGCCTCCTTCCTGCCCTCCGCCCCCAGCTAAGCCGGGCTTTCTTCTTCTCCTCCCTCTGCCACGCGGCTCCCGCCTCCTCAGTCACTAGAGGATCTTGAAGACCAAAAACGGAAAAAGAAGAAAGAGAAGATGGGATTCGGCTCCATCTCCCGCGTCTTCGCCAGAGGGAAGCAGCGGAAGTCCCTCGACCCAGGCCTCTTTGATGGTACCGCCCCCGATTATTACATAGAGGAGGACGCGGACTGGTGATACGCGCCTCCCGGCCCGTGCCCGGCGCGTGTGCGTGGAGCGTGCGTGGGGTGCGAGTGTGGCCATGCGTGGGTGCGTGTGCACGTGTGTTCGCGCACGCGTGGGTGCTGGGGGTGGCCGAGCGCCCCAGACAAGCGAAACCACGAGTGTGAACCCCTCCCTCTGCGTCGCCACCTCTGTAATTGATGTACATACTACGAACCGTGTGTGAACATGTCAACTCTCTGTCGTCTTCGGAGCGATACCGTTGTGTTGTTGATCTGGTTTATTATTTTTCTTCAATGTTGGGTTTTATTTTAATTTCTTTTTGTTTTGTTCATTGGTTTGTTTTGTTTTGTTTTTTCCCTTTCTCCTTCCCTCCTCCTTTTTATGAAACTTGAAAACTTGAAGGACTGCTGTGTATTTGTAAATAACAAACTCTTGTGCACTCCGTGCTTGTAAATGTCCCTCGTCCAAACCGCTACTCCCGGAGCCCGTCTCGCCGAGGATGTGGTCTGTTTCCGATGTCCCCCTCTCACCCCTCAGTGTGAACGTGTGGGACCAGACCCTGCTCTCGGGGTGCGCCCAAGTCACTTTAACCACACAATGCCATCGTCATCAGGGTAAGGTCTGCTCTCCGCAAAGGCTCGCCAGCCCGGCCAGGGCTCGTCTTGGCTGGGTTTGGCAGAGGTCAAACGGGCTCTTTTTAAACGGCCTGCCAGTTTTTAAATTGCGTTGCCGTTTCTTTCTTTATGGAAAAAAAAAGAAAAAGAAAATTGTTGCGTTTAATTTATTTGCACAAATGCAGAAAACTTATTCTATCTAAATTATTACATAAATATCGGAATGTCTATTTTTCCACGGGGTGGGCGGGAGGCGGGTGTTTCTGTTGACTTGTCTGTTCTAGTACCATGCTGCTGCCAAACTGTGCAAATAGAGTTTAGGGTGGCCGGGACCCAGGGACCGCTGGATTTCAAAGCTTGCTTTTTCTGTCCTCTCTCTCTCTACCCCCCTCTTCTCTCCCTCTTTCGTTCTCTCTCCCCCATTTTCCTTTGCCTGCATGAAAATGCGCCCCACCTTCTTCCCACCCAGAGCTGTCTCCAGGCCTTTCCGTGTGTATTTATTTATCTGACGCACAGGACACGACCTCAGTGAGCAGAGTGCTGGCTGTCACGATCCCCGCTTTGGGTCTGTCTTTTGAGGGAGGCTGAGTCCAGGGGAGACAGCCCACGCCGCACACCCACAGGGTACGACCCAGGGGACCCTGGGCCCGAGTCAGTTCCTCAGGGCCTCCAGCAGCGTAGGTTCTCCCCGCAGCTGGGTCTCCCCGTCCTGGGCTTATTGTGCACGGGAGCCAGGCAGGTGTCGCTGGGGAAGGCGCCTGCCTCAAGCAGGGAGCTGTTGAGGACACGGCGTCTGGCACCTGAGCCCTCTGTCCTCCCCGTTCTGGTTGGTTCCCTTGACTTAGACTCTCTCGGGGTCCCTCAGGCTCTGTCCCCGAGCTTGTCACAGCAGCCTGCGCCCACCCACCCCAGGCGAGGAGGGCTGGCGGGAACAGCTGCCTGTTCGGGGAGCGGATTGGCCCCGAGGAGGCTCCACTAGCAGAGGGACTGCGTGCATTTTAGCACTGGGGTGGGGAGGAGACTGAGCTGCTCCGCCAGGTCCACTCAAGGCCTAGAACTCCATTTCCCTGTCCTGCCGCCCCGTGAACCCCCTTCTGCACATCCCTAACCGCTAACAGCCAGTCCACACCTCTAGACAGCAGTAGTCGCGCTTTCTGCTAACAGTAACATTTTCAGCTCTTAAAAAAGAAGCAAGGAGAATTTCAAATGTTGGACCATCTGCATCAGAACGGATAGGTTATTTTCCCCCCAAAATCTCTAAAACAAACAGAAAAGCCCCAGTCGGCTGCTCCCTTTCCTCCTGACCTGGTCCCGGGGACAGGAAGGAGCAAGCAGGGTACTTCATGAGGACCTTTCTGTCCTCCCTTGGCCAAGCTGTGTCACCGAGCCCAGGGTCGATGGAGAGCAGCCGGGGCTGGGATCTTTCTCTACGGAGAGAGATTTCAGAAAATTACTTTTCTCCCCCATGAATTTCTTTTTCGGTTGATTTTTATTGTTTTTTTCCCTTTACTTACAAGAAAATAAGATTGCAGCCACTCCTGGTAATGATTTAGTAGTTCCTTTTCATTTCAGTTTTTGTAAATTAGGAGATAATTCTAAGAGTTACTGAGGATGATTTATTTAAGAGAACTACGTCAAATAGCGAATGAGTTATGGGTAACATTAGATGAAAATAACCTTTCCCGTGGGAAAGGTTTCTTGAAGGCATGGATGCAAATATAAAATATTAAAAAAAAATCTAAATAAAGCTTATTTTAAAATATTATCGAATTCTACGTTATTTGATTGCTTCTATTTTGCTCTGGGTGGGAGGCTATGCCCCTCTGGGAGGCACAGGCCGCACGACCTGTCCCTTGGACTTTCAGGGCTGGGTCCTGGGGGGGTGACGGGAGGGGCCGAGGAAAGCTGGCTGCATTCTGGGCTCATGGAGGGGCCGAGCCAGGGTAGCCTTCCAGAACCATCTCACCTCTGGACCCTGACCGTAATTTGGAGGAGCTGCCAGCATCCAGGGCTGCCCCGTGGTCCTGACGCACCACTGCCGTGCCGGGCGCCCTGTGTTCTGGAGCTCGGTGGCCCCAGTCAGCTTTCATCTGCTTCCTCCTCCCCCGTTGCTCCTTCCGGAGGCCCAGCCGTGGAGCCTGTGCCTTTGGGGCGTGTTGCTTCCTGCAGACCTCAGAAGGCCTCTGCGTCATCCCAGGTTCCCAGCCTCCCTAGGGGACTCAGCGTAGCTTACAAGAGACAGAGGGGGCTTCCTTGATTGAAGCCCGAGCAAGCCAGGCTTTTCCAGGCCCCATGAGATCTGCCCCCAACAAGACTCTACTGTGTGTCCTGAGACGAGGCCACTCGGGTAACCTCGAACTTTGATGTAGCCAGTGCTCTCAGCCTCCATCTCCCAAGTGAGAAAAAAATTCTCCCCAGAAGTGAGACTGGTGAAAGATGGGCCTTGTAACTCCCCTACCGTCTCTGCTGGAAGAAAGCACGAGGCTACGCAACATACAGACCATGCCGACAAAGTCTCCCAAAGCCACGGTACCTCCCTTGTTAAAAGAACGGAGGACCCCAGCTCAGCCAGGACACAGGTGGATTCACAGGATCAGGAAGGTCAGGAAAGCTCAGGACTGCAAGGAACTCAGGGTCACCTACCCCAACACTTCCCAGCCTGGCCACACCTTAGGAAAAGAAAATACCGATGTCAGGCCATACCGCTGGCATCAGAGCGTATTTAAACCTCTGGCAATTCTAAGGGGCAGCCAGGATTGAGAACCACAGGGCTGATCAGAGGAAGGCAAGTATGGCCACATACATGCCCCTGCTACCCTCTCCTTGGCCCCATGCAGACATCACTAATCGATTGAAGAGCCCTTGCTTTTTATCCCAAAGTGGTGTCTGATTTCTCACTTTACGTAGCCTCAAACAGCCACTGCCAGTCAATCAGACTTGGCACACAAGGATAAAGCCTATTTGTCGTCCCAAAACTAGCTCAGCCCCTCGCGCCGGACACATGGGGAAAACTTTGGCCCAGAAAGGAGTGACTTGGCCAAGGTCCTGGCTATTGGGACTACGATTGTGCCTTGAGAAGGAAGCAAGGGCTGGGCCACACCTTGTCCAAATCTTTGTAGCTCCACTCAAAGCTCCACTGTACCTTGTTTGTTAAAAGAATCTTCTCTGAGACCTTGCTCAAACTGGTCTGTCTTCAAGTGGCACCTATTAGTCAGAAATTGAAGCAGGGCTGCCCTGGGCATCTAGGACCAGTGTACCAGCTGCACAGGTTGTGCGCTGCATTATTCCAGAGATGCCATCCTCCAGTGTCAGTGGTGCCCCGGTGCCCTGGGTTCAGTGCACAACCTGCACGGCTGTACTCGGTGGCCCTTCTGTGTGCTTTCCCACCCGTGCTGGCAGGCTCCAACAGGTGTAACCAATAACAACAATAATGTCTAACATTTATGAGGCATTTGCCATAGGTCTATGCTGCGCTCTTCACACACATTAACTCGGTTAACCCTCCCGACAACCCGTGCTATCGATGAGAAGACAGGTTAAGTAAATCATCTAGGCTCATGAAACCGGGAAACAGCAGAACTGGGCTCCAGGCCTAGGGAATCTGGCTGCAGAGCTCGTGCCCTAGCAGGGGCGGGGAACCTGCGGCCTTGGGGCCACATGTGGCCTCCTGGATCCTTGAGTGCAGCCTTTTGACTGAATCCAAATTTTATAGCACAAATCCTTTCAATAAAGGAATTTGTTCTGTGAAGTTTGGATTCGGTCAGGGGCCACGTGGCCTTGAGGCGGCAGGTTGCCCACCTAACTGCAGCTAAGCCGGGCACCTGCCCCCTGGGGGGCATCTTTGGTGCTTCAGTTGGGCCCAGTTTGAAGGTCCCCTGCCCCCCAGTAGCCTCTGACACAGCCTGGGGCTGCGTCACTTTTGTGACTGAGTCTATTTCCGTCAGCCTTTCCTCGCAGGCCCAGAAAGCCCCCCACAGAGGAACTGGTGGGAGATCAGAGCAGAAACGGGCTGCCGCCCGGCACCGGCTCTCCAGCCCTCCTCCTGGCCAGCTCGGCAGCAGAACTGCCTCCATTTACCCTGCGGCCAAGCGCCTGACGGCCAGAGCTGCGGATCCTGAGGTTAGCGCCACCCCGACACCTGGGGAGGTATGTGGCGCCCCTCCCGGCCACAGCATGAACCTGCGGCCCAGGCTAGCGCTGCCCCATACCTGTGGCCAGATGGCGCTTGGGGAGTCCAGGTGGAGTGGGGTGAACCGTGGGGGGCAGCAGCCCTTGGACAATATGATTTTTAAAATCCCTACAGGCCCTCTCCCCCAAAACTTGCATGTTCGCAAAATGGCCCTCACAGACTCCCCAGCCCCAGCCCATCTGCTCTGAACAAATGGCTCTTAAGCTTTTTCAACTGGGACCCCACCGGGTGGGGCAGAATGTGTCCTTGTCACCTACCTCCCCCCGTTCCCATTTCCCAGCAGAAAAAGAACCCAGTAACAGTGAAGGATCAATAGGGAACACACTAGCTTATTCCTTACCTTATAGAAAGGGAGGTTCATAATTCTACATTATAAAATAATGCCCTGTAAACTTAAAAATAACTTAGAAGTTTGTACAAGAGAAGTTATTTAAATATCAAAGTCATAACACAGCACCAGCACAGTGTCACTGTGCAGGCAGATTGCGGGTGTAAGTCTGGGATGGCAGCTGGGATATGGCTGAACCTGGTTCACCCCTGAACCACAAATACGTGACATCATAACGCTTGGTTGCTGGAAAATGCACAACCATGCAAATACGCAGCACTGCACTCCACGGGACAACAGACTAAATCCACAAGAAAAGGGTCCCAGGAGGATGAGAACAGCAGCCACTGAGAATCTTGACCTAGTCTTCCTGCAAATGGCAGGACCTCCGATTCCCCAGCACATGCCTGAGAGCCTGGTGACATGGCCAGGCTGTGCGCCAAAGCCACAGTCCTGAATCAGGGTCCCCAGAAAACACTGGCTGGTAGCTCATTTGCATTTCTAAGTTTCAGGCTTTGGAAATCCCTGATTGCTTTGTTAATGGGTTTTCAGTAAATAGCAGTTAACTGCACCAATACCAGAAAATTTGTAAAATTACATGCCATGCTCCCAGACTCCTCAGAGGAAAGATTTGCCTTCGGGAAGTCATGTGTGCCCTGTCCAGAGAGCTCTTGCAGCCCTCCAATGGGTTCCAGACCATACCTGGATAATCACTCCCTGCTCTGGCCCTGCATCGAATTTCACGCAAGTTGTTTAACCTGAGCCTCAGTGTTCTCATCTGTAAAATGGGTATAATGACCCTCCCCTCCTCATAGGTTCAAAAATGAGAGTTCTATGTGTTTAGGGCTGGCCCCGTGATTTGTGTTCCCTGTGATTTGTGACATGTGGATTTAAGTTCAATGGGAGGTAGCAAAAAAGTGTGGAAGCGGTTTAATATGTCTCGAGTCCAATGGTGACACAATCAAAACTTGTCCCTCAGGGTCAAATCAAGGCATGGGGCCATGTGAACCCCAAGTCCCTCCAGCTGCCGGGGTCTCTGAGGACCATTCTCAGTGCAGGTTCAGTTCCAGTGTCGCTAGAGACAAGAATCTGGGCCGCTTTGCCTTGGAACAGGGAGGGCTTGAAGCATTGCCCTAGGATCCACCAGCCCTGACAGCGTCCTGTCTTTCTGGAGTCACACTGTCTTCCGTGACTACTGTGGGGAGATTTAGACTAAGAGAAGCAAGTGGGCTGCCCGAGGCTGGATTCTTGAGGCGGAAGTCCCAAGGGTCACCCCAGGGGTGGTAAACATTTATGCGAAGTGTGTCAGAGCCCAGGGCCAGCCTGGGCTGCCAGTAAGTCCTGCCTCTCTCCTGGAGCATTTGCTTTGTGCCACGCACTGTTCTCCTTCCAGATACTCGCTAATAATCCTTCCAACAACTCTCCAAGATAAATATCATCCCCTTTTCACAGATGGACAAACCAAGGCACTGGGAGGTGAAGTTCTCACCCAAAGTCACACAGCTAAGAAGAGGCAGAACTGGGATTTGACCCCAGCAGTTTGGCTCCAGAGTCTGGGTTCTTGGTAACTTTGCTGTGTGTCTCGGGTCAACTGTTGGCCCCAAGTTCCTTCCCCGTCAGGGTCAGTTGATCAACAGAAAGCTTCCGGGAACCCCAGAATGAAAGCCTCATTAGCAGGATGAGGCCAAACCCTGAGTAGGCCAGCTCTTTAGGGCTCAGTTTCTCAATCCGAAAGAGGAAGACAGTGGAATAAATAGGGGGTTTGCAAACCGTGTTCCAGGAACCTTAAGGGGTTCCTCAGAGTTCCCTCAAGGAGTTGCCACACCTGGCGCCGGAACCAGCAGGCAGCGCTCCAGCCGCCTTCAGCCACGAGCTCTGTGCTTACTGTTTTATACTCTGGACTCCACGTAAGGGTCCATGTGGAGGGTTCTGTGACGGAGTGAGCAAGAAAGCAAGAAGAGAGGGGAGGTTTGAGAACCACATCAGTACTCATCGAACCTGACCAAGCCTTGGGTTTTACGGCTGCAGAGTCCCAGGCCCCATCCCGTAACTACTGAGCCAGGTCTGAGGTTGGGGCCCCGGGGTCTGCGTATTTATTGAACAAGCTCCCGGTGTGGGCTCCAGCACGGGAGGTTCCATGGGGCCAAGGCAGCATCGTGCCCGTGTGGGACCGTGCAGACGTGCCCGGGGACGTCATCGGGTAGGTGGAGGCCGCCTTGCTGGGGCAGCCCCGGGCCCCCCCAGTGAGGGA